CTCTTTGTTCTGTCATCTGCCACCATTGAGAACAGTTTAGCTCCTTCCTCTTTGTAACCACCTTTCAGGTAGTTGAAGGCTGTTACTAAATCCCCCTCAGTCTTCTATTCTCCAGACTAAATAATCCCAGTTCCCACAGTATCTCCTTATAAGTCCTGTGCCCCAACCCACTAACCATTTTCATTGCCTTCTGCTGGACTGTCTCCCATTTGTCCACATCCTTCCTGTAGTGGAGGGCCCAAAACTGGACACAGTACTCCAGATGTAGTATCATCAGTGCAGAATAGGGAAGAATTACTTCCCTTGACTTCTGGGCAGTGCTCCTACTAATGCAGTCTAGTATGCCATTAGCCTTCTTCTAACAAGGGCATGCTGGTTCATATTCAGTTCATATTCAGTTTATTGTCCACTGCAACACCCAGGTCCTTTTTCTGCAGAGCTGCTGCCTAGCCAGTCAGTCTGTACCAGTTCATGGGATTGTTGCAGGACTTTGCACTTATCCTTATTGAACCTCATGAAATTCCTTTTGGTTTCATCCTCCAATTTGTCTAGGTCTGTCTGAATCCCAGCCCTACCCTCCAGTGTATCTACTACTCCCCACAGCTTGGTGTCATCGACAAACTTGCTGAGAATGCACTCCATCCCATCTTCCAGATCACTGATGAAGATACTGAACAAAACTGACCCCAAGACAAATCCCTGGGGCACTCCATTTAATACCAGCTGCCAAACTAGACATTGATTACTACCCATGGAGCCTGATGATCCAGACAGTTTTCTTTCTATCTTACAGTCCATTCATCCAACCTATGTTTCCTTAACTTGCTTGTGAGAATGTTGTGGGAGACCATATCAAAAGCTTTTTTAAAGTCAAGCTATGTCACTTCCACTGCTCTCTCCACATCCACAGAGCCAGTCATCTCATCATAGTAGGCAATCAGGTTGGCTGGGCATGACTTGCGTTTGGTGAATCCATGCCAACTGTTCCTTATCAACTTCTTCTCCAAACTGCATTTCAAAATGGATTTCTTGAGAACCTGCTCTGTGATTTTTCCAGGGACTGAGGTGAGGCTGATTGGTCTGTATTTTCCAGGATCTTTGTCCTCCCCTTTCTTAAAGATGGGCACTATATTTGCCCTTTTCCAGTCATCTGGGACCTCTCCCAATTACCACCAGTTTTCAAAGATAATTGCCAGTAGCTCTTCAGTCACATCAGCTGATATACCCTCAGCACACTCACATGCTTCGCATCCAGCCCCATGAACTTGTACAAATCCAATCTTTCTAAGTAGTCCCTGACCTCTTCTTTTGCCATTGCCAGCTGCTTACCTCATCCCCAAACTCTGCTGCCCAGTGCAGTAGTCTGGGAGCTGGCCTTGCCTATGAAGACTGAGGTAAAAAAGGCATTGAGAAGTTCAGTCTTTTCCACATAATCTGTTACTAGGTTGCCCCCCCCGCCCATTCAGTAAGGGACCCACACTTTCCCTGATCTTCCTTTTGTTGCTGAACTTCTTGTAAAGTCCTTCTTGTTACTCTTCATGTCCCTTGCTAGCTGCAATTCCAATTGCACTTTGGCCATCCTGATTTCAGCCTGGCATGCCCAAGAAATAATATTTCTCCCTAGCATTAGTCCAATTTCCACTTCTTGGAAGCTTCCTTTTTATGTTTTATCTCATTGAAGAGTTCCCTGCTAAGCCAAGCTGTTTTTCTGCCATAATTGCTAGTCTTCCTGTGCATCAGGATGGTTCATTCCTGTTCTCTCAGTAAGGTTTATTTAAAATATAACCAGCTCTTCTGGATTCCTTTCCCCCTTAGGCTGACCTCCCAGGCAGTCCTACACATCAGTTTCCTGAGTGAGTCAAAGTCTGCTTTTCTGAAGTCCAGGGTCCTTACTCTGCTGCTCTCCATCCTTCCTTTCCTCAGGATCTTGAATTTTATCATCTTGTGGTCTCTGCTGCCCAAGTTGCCATCCACTTCCACATCCCCCACCAATTCTTCCCTGTTTGTGAGCAGCAGGTCAAGCAGAGCACAGCCCCTAGTCGGCCTCTCCACTACTTGCACCAGGAATTTGTCCCCAGTACTCTCCAAAAACTTCCTGGTTCGTCTGTGCAATCTGTATTGCCCTCCCAGTCAATATCAGGGTGATTGAAGTCCCCCATAAAAACCAGGGCCTGTGATCTGAAAACTTCTGCCATCTGTTTGAAGAAAGTCTCATCCACTTCCTCCTGGTCTGGTGTTCTACAGCAGACACCCACTATGACCTCGCCTTTGTTGCTCTTCCCTCTGACCCTAACCCAGAGACTTTCAACAGACCTATCTGTAGGTCTGAGCATACTGGAGCTCTGAGCAATCATATAACTCTTTTACATGAAGTGCAACTCCTCCTCCTCCTCTTCTTCCCTGCCTACCCTTCCTGAACAGTTTATACCCATCCACCATGGCAGTACTCCATCTTGCAAGCTATCCTACCAAGTCTCTCTTATTCCAACCAAATCACAGTTCCATGTCTGTGCAAGGACTTTCAGTTCTTCCTGCTTGTGTCCCAGGCTCCGTGCATTCATGTGCAGACACCTGAGGTATCTAGCTGGTTACCCTATTTTCTCAGGAAGAATAAGAAGGCCTCCCCTGTTGCCCCCTCCTGCTTGTGCTTCCTCCAGGTCACCCACTTCCCCACTTACCTCAGGGTTTTGGTCTCCATCCTCTGGTGAACCTAGTTTAAAACCCTCTTCACTATGTTAGTGAATCCGTCTGTAAAGCTGTTTTTTCCTCTCTTCATCAGGTGGATCTTATCTCTTCCTAGCAGTCTTTCTTCTTGGAATAACATCCGGTGGTTGAAGAAGCAAGAACCCTGCTGGTGACACCATCTGCATAGCCATGCATTGATTTGCAGGGTGTGTCTGGTCCTGCAAGGGGCCCTTCTCCTTGACTGGAAAATCAAGGAGAACATCACCCCTTCACCCTTGCACCAGAACCCTGTAGTCACTTTTGATCTACTCATGGTGCCCCTGGCAGTATCATTGGTGCCCACAGAGATGAGCAGCTTGGGGTAGTTGTCAGAGGGCAAGATGAGTCTCAATAAGCCTTCCATGGCATCTTGGTCCTGGGCTCTAGGCAAGCAGCAGACCTCCTGGGACAACAGGTCAGGTCACCAGATGGATGCTTCCATCCCCTGCAGAAGGGAGTCTCCAACCACCACCACCTGTCACTTCCTCTTGGTGGCAGTAGTCTCAGTCCTCCCAAACTTGGGGATGTCTGGCCTGCCCTCTTTCATTGATGGAACATCCTCCTCCTCCTCCTCTGTTGCTAGGGCTCCATATCTGTGTCCAGGTAAACTGCTGCAGGTGGGGATGAACACTACTGTGTGCTGCCAGAGGTCACAAGTTTCCACCTTCCTAGAATCCATGTTCTCTTCTTCTCTACCGCCTCCTCTGGCAGTCCTTCCTCCTCAGTCCTTGAGATTTCCAGCATTGAAGCGATGAACTCATCGTGGTGGAGGATGCCTCAGAGCTTCACTACCTTCTCCTGTAGCTCTCTTGCCTGCTCCCTTAGGGACACCACCTAAAAAGGTGCATTGCAGGCACTCCCCTATCAGGCTGTCACTGGAAGGATCCTGTAATATGCAGTCTCCACAGCACCGAGCCAGGACCTGGGTAGAAGCAGTCCTGCCTGGACAGACATCTCACAGGTGCAAGCAAAGGAGGAGCTGACAGTGGCAATGGCTCTGGCATTGCAATATCCTCTAGCCATCTCTCTGGGTCTCTTAAATCCATTGCCTCCCTCTTCCTGCCCCTCTCTCCAAGCAGACCTGCCCTAGCAAACTTCCTTGTAACCTAGCCTGTTCACTGCTCCTTGGTCTTGAAAGGTTCCCTTTTCCCTGATAGCCTGCTTCCTGTCACCAGGCTTACAGTGACAGAGAGAGTTTATGGGCAAACTCCCTAGGGAACCTCCCACTTGCTCAGGGCTCTAGTTAAACAAGGACGCTTAAGTTTTGATCTAACTCTTCAGTTTTAGTTGCTTGTGCTAAACATACATAGGTTAATTACTCTTATTTGAGGATAAAACTTACCTTAATGACTCCCCTTCAAAGAGGGGGGCAACAAAGTGACCACCTGTGAATTGGCTTGTGGAGTGCTTGCAAACTGCCCTGTTTGGTGCCCCTGTTCTCTTACCTATTTTCGTGTGCAGATAAATTACTTAGTGCTTCAGTTATCTCAGTATTTCAGACAGCAGCAATAATAAAAAATAATTTAAGATATTATATTTACTGTACTTATCACTTGATTTTCCATGGGACGCAAATGCTGCAAAAAATACTTTGGCCAAGGAGAGAAATGTTCAGCTCTTTGTAAGATTATTTTGCCTAGACCTCATGATTTTTTTCCCCTTTCTACACTTTTCCAGTAATCATGTAATTACACTTTTATGTTTAGCATTGAATTCAGTTCTTGGAAAAATATCTGTCATTCTTCCTGGCATTCCTTGCTACCCAGATAAACCTGTTCTTTGGATAAATACAGGATATTAGTTTTCAGGCCTGTCATTCAGAATCTTTCACCAAATTTTGCCTTGTGTATTGCACTAGATAGATTTCCAAATGAAGTGCTAGATTCTCATGTACAATAAGGCCATTTTGCATAGCGCTGGCATCGAAAAGGATTTTTTAAATTAAGTGCAGTGCCCATTTTAAGAGGGTGTTGTGTCCATTTTAAGACCCCTTTAGGTGGCCAGAAGGCTGTAAAGCAACTTTTGATATAAATGAGAATTGGTCTTGAAAAATGTTAAAACAATATTTCTTCATTCAGGAAACATTTTAATTTATTCAAAAGTCTACCCAAGAAGAACGTAGACTATCAAGCACAAGCTGCTAAATCTGTATCAAATGATCCCATGAAACTGAAAATAAATGCTGTTGGTAGCAGTTGTTCTATTACCTCTTACTGTAAGTGGGTGGTTTCTGATACAGTTCCGTTAAGTGAATTGCTGAAAATTATCTTGTGCAGGTTAATCATCAGAAGAGACCACTTGCTGGAAGATGCCTTTAACCAGATTATGGGTTACTCAAGAAAAGACCTACAGAGAAATAAACTCTATGTCACATTTGTTGGGGAGGAAGGGTGAGTAGAAGAGGGAAGTAAGCATGAACACAGTGTTTATACTATGTTTTGCAGCTGTGCTTGGCTCTTTTACCACCTATTGTGGTCTAGAGTGAAAAGAGGAAGGATTGTGGTCAGGAAATGCCACATACATAAGCCTAGAACCAACAGCTGTTCAGAATGATTTCTTTGGCTTTTAAAAATGTTAAGCTTTTTGTAATGCACAGCTTTTATGGTGTAAAGCTTTTTGTAAAACTTTTCAGAAGTTAGGTGTACGTTTCTATGGAGGGTTTGCCAATGTATGTCTCAGTGTCACCAGGAAAGCAGAAAAAAACTTAGTTCTCACGTTTTCCGTATTTCTTTTATCTCTGTTAATTCTGTCTGTGTTTTTCTAATACATAGCGCAAACTTTTGTGGACTGAGCTTCAGCCCACAAAAGCTTGTGCTATATCTGTCTAGCTAAGTATCTATCTACCTACTTTGGTTAGGCTATAAGGTGCAAATTTACCCAGCCACTTGATTTCAGACTAACACGTCTAACTACGTTTCAACTCTTACCATAAGAGGCAGATGGTCCTCTGCAAGGTCAGGGTCTTATGTCACAAAGAAAACTTTCCAGCAGTCTGCTGCTATCTGTTAAATAAACAAAAGTATTCCTAACATCTCACAGCCATAGCAGCAGATGCTTAGCCTGTGGCTGAGAGAATGCTGATGTGTTGGAGAGCTTGGAAGTTTTGCATTATGATGCCAGATTAAGCAATTGATCTGATTTCCCTTCTCCAAATGAAACTTGAATGGTGAACTGCTTTCTGTCTTCAGATTTTAGTTCTTTTGCTTTCTGGCCCCTCTGTGTTTTTAAACCCTTTAATTTCATACGACACAAAGGGACTAATCTGACCAGACTTCGTCACTGTACAAGAGCCCTAGCAGTATAACCTGATACAGTTCAGTAGCACAAAGGAAGAGCAGCCCATTGTGGTCCACATCCTTTGCCTTGCACCACTCGCACAGTAAGTGAAGATGATACAGAGAGATAGAATAAGGGAGGAACATGTCTAAAAGACCAGCCATTTAGAGGATCTTCTCTCCTTCACATTATGGTGAAGAGGAATAGAGAGTTGTTTCAGTCAATAAACTATAGTAGGTTCTGCAGCTATACCAACATCCGACTCAGAGGAATCTGTCACCCCATCCCTGCAATTTCTGTGTAGTTCAGCTGCTGTGACAAGGTGCAGGCTGGCCTGAGAATATGGCTCATGTGTCTAGTTTTTCAAATCCTCACACGTGCAAATAAATACGCATTTCCTTGCATACTTGGAATTCTCGGTTATTGGGAAAAGATCAGTTTTGTATCTAACTGTCCGTTTGTATACAGATATCTTTTTTTATTCTCACAGCTATAGCTCAAGGTTAGGACCTTTTATGGGCCTGATTAACATTACTGTAAATATATACATAAGTTTATTCTCTCATATTTCAGAGATTTTTTTACTTTTGTTATAGAAACTGGTGTAAAATACATCCTGACCCAGTGGTAGGGTGTTTGCAGTTGTTTGTTAATACCCTGTAGGATGTTCCAAAGACTTGTATTGATCCTGGTGCAGTAAAAGCAACTGGTACACCATTAGATAAATTCTCCTTTAAAAAGCCCTAAGATTTGTAGTGTGTTTAAGTGTAACCTTAAAAACCTAATTTTAAGAAGTAAAGCTTTCCAATAAAATGTGGTGGTCTCTGGCTGCAACTGTGGGCTTGTTGATAAAGATAGTTTTACCACATCAATACAGATTGATAGATAATTTTGATCCAAGCAAAACTCCAGGCCAATAATTGGGAGGGTTGGTGCAGTACAAAACTGAAAGTGTATTGATAACACAGGATTCAGGCACAGGTACTGGGCCTACTCCAAATAGTGATGTTGGCCTTAATTTTCACAACTATCAACTTCAATCAAACTTTAAACATAAAGCAAAAAGAATGAAAATCATACATGAAAGAGAGAACTGAGTTAATAATACAAATATAAGGCCAGGTAGATTATTTTCCTTCATCAGACCATGTTAGGATGTTACTTTTCAAAACATGGAATGACTTAGTGGCCTGGATGAGGGGGCCATATAATACACATTTTTCCTTTCTCCCCTTACAGCCAGTCTATACAACACATCCTTGTTTAAAGTAAAGAAGGGGTTAATTATGAGTAACATCAAATTGAATTGACATCAGTCATCTGCTTACAAGTGTATGTTTTGAATGATGAAAGGATGTGTGCAAACAAATCTTGTTTCATCTCAGATTGCGCAAGGATATGTATCACAGAGCTCATTTGGTTACACGTAGGAGGATGGGTTGAGGCAACGGAAGGAGTCATAGGAGAAGTGTTCAGAGAAGCATATCTTCCCATCCAATCTCTACTTTTTTTGCTGCAATTTTTTCTTTATAACATTGGGGAAGGAATTTAATCTGGCATTTCTGTGGCCCTGGAAATCTTAAGTCAGTAATGAAATCCTCACTGTATGTACATAATATTTTGATTAACTCTAGGTCTGTTTGCTTAGTAGTTAGGGTAATTTAAACCTCACTGTTGCTATTTGCACAATTTTAAGATGAATCTTACGATAGCTGGTGTTTTTCTTAAATCCTCAGTTGCTTGAGTACATGAAGCTCTCTATTCAGTCTTTTAAAGTAAGTTTCTACCCTTTATGTTAACAAAGAAAGCTTGCAAATGTGGCCTGCATGTTCAGAGCCACATGGGAAATAAAAGAACCTCAGATGTATATACTTTTTTCTAAATTTAATTATTTTAAAGTAAAATGCATGATTTTGCAGTTCTGCCACAAGAGTGTGTTGGGTGTGGGTGTGCATATACATGTGGAGCTGGTAAGAAACAAGTAGTTTCTGGGCTTGGATTTGCTATGGACATTAAACAGTACAGTATCATCTGTCTATCGTAGATATTTTTAAGTAAACCTGTCATTGTGGTATGTATGTCTTAATTAATGGATAATTATTTGTTTTGGTTCTTCTAAAATGACAGAAGAATGTAAGGATGATTGATGGCATCTAAAAATATGGTGTAAGATCCTTACCCCAGATGTGGCCCCTTTATACCAAGGACAAAACAGTATAAACAGTATAAAAGTCCCTGTTTCACTAATGGGAGAAGGCCCCTGGTTCAGTACTGTGGAGACAGCTGTAAGATTTGCTCCCAAAGTCTCTCCCCAAGTACATATTTAGGGGATATGCTCCAAGGCAGTGGTGTCCCCTAGTGCACACAAGTTTCTGGGAAGTACTATGGTACATAGGTCAACGTAGTCCAATGGGCCCACTGGCCTTTTTAGGTTACACTAGTGGTCTCTCTAGCATCAGGGTGAGGGAGACTTGCCAGCTACTTAAAGTTACTTTAGGACTCCCTGAACCCTTAAGGGTGGTGCTCAGAATCTCACCCATGATAAATCCAAAACATTGTTTTTCTTAAAAAATTGAAATTTCCTGCTCAATTAAGGTCACTTGAAAAACAGCAAATCTTTTATCCCAGCTAATGGCCCTAGTAGCACAGTCTCTTCTTCGTGTCAATTAGTGGGTTTATACGGACTGGTAATGGTTTAAAATATTAAGCAGTGCTCCCGGAAGTGAGGAAGTCTGCTGCCAACCACAGTGCTTCTGCTTTTGAATCCTCAGATGCCTGCTCCTTATGCAGCTGTTGTGTGGCTGCATGCCTCGTGTATAAAGTGACCTAAGTGCCAAGTCTTTAGTTGTGGGATAAACCCAACTGACAAAACAGGAATGTAATGATTGATCCTCTGACATGAGTCATATTAATCCTGTGTACAAAAGGAGCACTGTGAAATGGCTGGAGTTAGCTCAAGCACAAAGATAGTATTTTAATAGTTACTCTGACAGCCCCGGGAATGCCTCAAGAGTTTACTGATTTAGCCTGTGTAGCAGCACATATCCTCGGTCTGGTGTTCAGGCTGTCATGTCCTTCTGAATTTGAGGGTGGTGCCCACGTCTTCTGTCAGGGTGAGAGACCAGGGAGCTTAATTGAGCCCACAGGCTTCTGATTGACTGGGGGAGCATATTCTTCCTTCAGTAGGGCATCAGTGGCTTTATTTGCAGTTCAGCAATGGTCTTTATACCACCTCTTATCCTTACAGGTTACCCTGCTTTTTAGATGATTGATGAAAGCTAAAGTTTTAGAAAAGAGTGGCAGAAACATGATGCTGAAGCTGATCCTTTGTGATAAAGGGTTTTTTTTCATTCTTTTGCTGTTAGCATCTGGAGGTAAAAAAGAGTTTCTTTGCCTCCACCATACAATCCAGGGGGTCTGTAGGCAGCCTGTTCAGGTTGGTGATCGTTCTAGGTAGTTTGAGCTCTCTTTGCCAACTAAATGAATCAAGATCTTTCTGTTGTGAGGAAAAGTTTTATATTGCTTGGTGGACAAAATCTCTGAGATTCATATTGCACTTGTAGCATCTCTGAGGATGGGACAGTAATTTCCAGACACTATGACTTCTTTCCTTGAGTTTCTGCCGCTGTCACGGCTATACTTGAGATATAACTATGCCCCATAAATTGCTGTGTATTATCTCTTTCTACCGGGAGCTCCACTTAGAGAGAATGGACTGCTTGCATTCCTTAAGAAAGCATCTGTGCATCATTTGCTGAGAAAATGATTATTCAGTATAAACAGTTGCTTTTGTGTCTCCTCCATTTCTAGAGAATACTGAAAAGTCAGGGGTGAGTAAACTTTTGTGATATTCAAGTGCTTCAGGTTTCCTTGATTTTAATCTGATTACAGTTTGGGAATGACGTGGTTAAATTGGTGAATGAAATTTAGAGATGGATTTGGTGCCCAGGCTGATGATAACAGATTTAATCAGCTGCTTTGACAATGTTTGAAGTAGTGTTGACATTCCTGGGACTTTGGCAAAAATAAAGAATACCTGTCCTTTACTCTGTCAGTGAGATTCGAGTGTAGTTTTGCACCATTATTCTGTGAGAAGACACAGAAGAGTCTGTCTTGCCACCCCACTCCTATGTAATACAGATGTTAGGCTGTTTGGAAGGTTAGGGGAGAGTTAGTCGCCACGGGATTAACCCAACTTGGTCTCCATCTATCAAGTTCTCTCTCTTTGTGGGTACTATGGCTTCCTTCACCTTTAAACTTTAAAATGTTGATGAATTTATGTTTATAAAGCTTTCTGTGATGAGGAAAGCATTCTTATTCTTATTTATAGCTTGGGAACTGAAGTGAAATGAATTCTGTACCCCACTCAGCTACAGAAGGGAACTGATCTCCTATGTCCCAGTATGGTGCCTCAACTGTAAGACCATCCTTTGGCCTGGGCTAATGCCATTTGGCACTTTGTCGTTTGCCATCAACAGAGATATGAGCTGGTTAGTAGGTTCTCACTCCAGGAACAAATGAGGGATTACTGATAGGCTGGGAAAGCAAACAGAATATATGGCACAGACTACATTTGTTCTTCTGACAGAGGGTATGTTACCAGCCTACTTTTCCTCAAGTGGGTAGATGCAAAGCTACTGTTTGAGAATCAAATTCGAGACCACATGGTTCTTTTTTATATGGATCTTGCTGTCATTATCATTTGTACCTTTGTCACTTTGAGACTAGACTACTGCATTGTGAATTATATGAGGTTATGTCTTAAATCTATTCAGGAACTGAAATTGATGGAGGGTCCAGCCCCAGGTTAAGCTGGTTTTTGTTCTGTGAACAGATTATACTGATCCTCTAGAATTTGCCCTACTCGCTTTTTGCTTTCCAGGTAGATCCTTCAGATCCTGCTTTTGACATATATTTACACAGCCTGACAGCTATCTTCCTTTTGAGTCATGTTGTTGCAGTTAGCAGATGTGCTTGAGCCAAAACTTCCTTTTTTGAACTGCAAAGAACATCTGATTAGGCATCCCACACAGAGCACTCATAGCATTGGCATCTACCTTGATCTGAAATAGCCTTGGAAATGCTCAGAGTTATGGAAGGAGAGAATAGGATGAGTGCTAGCATTTTTAAAGGGTGGAAAATATAATGAAAACTCTTTTTGGAAGGGAATCTGGTTATTTTGTAAGGGGCAGAATCATGATATTAAATATTATTATTCTACATTTTTAATGACTAATGGCATCCAAAGTTATGTCCCAGTTCATATATTTATATATCAAAATATAACTTGTATATTGATATATCAAAATAAGAAAAAAGATACATAGCCATACATACAGTTCAAAGTGTGTCCTTGTGAGTTATTTAATCATTAACTGTTGAATATTAGCTGTGTATCAAATAACTGTTTTCACTCTTACCAGGTACAGACTCTCCTTTAAAGTTTAGTGTCTACCTTTTTTGTGAGTTTTATCTTGGTACTAGGGCTAATTATGATTCCTGAGGGTACAGAAGGTTCTTTATGTTCCTTGTTTGGGGTTATAATAATTCACATTCACTGTGGAAAAGCCCCTAGCTTTCCATTTTTCACCTTTCCAGAAGTATTAACCTTATACATATTATGCTCCAGTTGTGACCCTGGGGGAAATGGCAGGACTGCAAGCTCATCCTTAATGCTGTTTCAGTGAGACTCTTCAGCCTGTGTGTAATCACGCTACTCAGAGAATGCATTTCCTTCAGTGCCTGCTAATTCAAGATTGCTGTTTCTAATAAACAAAGTTGATAAATAACTACCATATTCCCTAAGAATAAATAAAGTCTTTTAGATCAGGGAAGACAAAGCAATTATTTGATTTACAATATATTTCTCAGGACAAAACCCATTGGGTTGTTCTTATAGTTCCCAATTTGTGAAAACAAAATATGATTTTTTTTCATTTTTCAATTTTGGACTAATGGTGGCTTTTTTATATTGTACACTGTACATACAAGAGATTTCTGCTTTTCCTTTAGCTTTCCTTTCTATTACATCTCAACACTAGACTGTAATATACTAAATGAAGCCTTCAGTGATGATTGTTTGTATTTTACTTAGGAGGATTCCACTCAATAGAAGTGACAGGGTGTTAGAAAAGCCTAGCATATATATTTAAGGGAAACAGATTGTAGAAGAAACCATCTGTGTAAAATAAATCCTTTGTATTAACTTTATTTTTGTAAAGGTTGGATTACAGTGGACCTTCAAGAGAATTTTTTTTCCTGGTGTCCAGAGAACTCTTCAATCCATATTATGGTTTATTCGAATATTCAGCCAATGATACCTACACAGTTCAAATAAGTCCCATGTCTGCTTTTGTGGACAATCACCATGAGTGGTAAGAATTATTTTTTCAATCTTAATTTTTAAATTTTTTTTCTATTGTCCCCATTTGCAGAGAATCAGCTCATACGTAATCAGACATGTGCTATGGAATTTTATCTTTTTAACCAATAGTAGTCAAATAATTGCATTTCTTTAGACTCTCCTCACTGATTTTTCTCTTGAGTTGGTTTTAAATGATATTTCTCGTCAGGTCAGCAAAGCTGACTTTTCTCTAATGTGCATTGGCTCACAATATGAAATGCCATGCTGCTTTTGCACAAGCAGTCACTTCACCCAAGTCGCTTCACTATCAGCCCTTTGTGCATGAAAAATAGACTAGTTTAGTCAGCTCAATGAATACGGGGAGATTTCAGCTGCATGTCATAGTTTAGGATTTCTCTACCAATACAGATCATATCCAGCAAGGCATTCGATCTCTGTTGGAGGAAACGCTATGAAATCTTGTTCTTGTGATAAAGCAGTCAGTGGTAAATATAAAAGTGTCTGGATCAAGAGGCACTCTATATAACCTTTAAAACATGAGGTCAGGATCTACAATGAGGGATCTGAAGACAATCAGAGAAAAAAATGGAAGGTTGTGTAGTTAGTTTCTTTAAAATTAATTAATGGTAGTATTAAGAGTGCTGCTCTAGCCATGATGGTCTAGAAATTATGCAAGAAGCAAGGATTTGTCAGGGTGATAAGTTTTGCTGGAACAAGTATAGCTGAGATAGTTAGACAAGCTTTAGGATGCAAAACATTCTTCATCAGGAATGTCTTGCATTCAAAAGCTTGTCTAACTTTATCCCAGCTATACAGGTGGTCCAATAAGAGATACAGGTATCCCTTGATTTATGTGAGTTCTTTATATGCGAATTCACTCTTATGCGATGAGCATATTTAGACCCATAATTTGTTATATGCAATGTAAATTTGCTCTTATGAGATCAGCATAGATGCCCCCCCGCCTGAGCAGGTAAGTCTGTGTGGGGAGGAGAAAGGGCCATGGCCCCACTCACCCCAGCCCCAGCTGCAGTGGCCCCAGGAGTGGCCGGCACCAGCGGCCTGCAGCCACTGGGCTGCACTGTGCTCCGCCTGTCCCCCTGTGCCTGGGCTCATCCCAGCTCCTGGGCTGTGCTGTGTCATGGTGCAGGCAGCTGGTGTCGGCCGCTCCAGCACAGGCTGGCATGAGCGTGGACAAGCGGAGCCCCAGGCAGCACAGGACGCAGCATTCACCCCAGCCCTGGCTGCAGCGGCCCTGGGAGTGGCCAGCTGCCTGCAGGCTCTGGGCTGCATTGTGCTCCACCTGTCCCCACTCACTTCTGTTCCTGGGCTGCACTGTGCCTTGGTGCAGGCAGCTGGCATTGGCCACTCCTGGGACTGCTGCAGCAGGAACTGGGGTGAGTGAGGACAGACAGCCCCAGGGGGTTCAGGGCATGGTGCAGCCCAGCGGCTACAGGCAACTGACGTCGGCTGCTCCTGGGGCTGCTGCTGCAGCAGGGACTGGGGTGAATGCTACGTCCCTTGCCACCCAGGGCTCCACTTGCCTGCACTCACCCCAGCCCATGCTGGAGCGGCCCCAGGACCAGCCGACACCAGCTGCCTGCACCAGGGCACGGCGCAGCCCAGGAGTAGAGGTGAGTGGGGACAGGTGAAGCCCAGGCACGGGGGACAGGCACAGCACAGTGTAGCTCAGGAGCTGCAGGCAGCTGGCGCTGGCCACTCCCAAGGCTGCTGCAGCTGGGGCTGGGGTTAGTGCCGCTCTCTTCCCTCTGCTTTGCTGTCTTGTGCAAACCCAGGAGTGGCACCTCTCCCCCCACCCCTTCCCTAGTCCTAGCTTCCCTCCCTCTCCACCATGGGAACCTATCCCTATTTGTTACATTGTAAAGTGGGTTTGATTTATGCGAATTTGATTTATCCGCTGTTCTCCAGGAATGCATATGTAGCATAAATTGAGGGAAACCTGTATAACCCTAAGAAATCCTTGCCTCTTTAAAACTAAGGCCATTTTTTACATAAACCAGCTTTCATGATTAAGGGCCCAACTCTCAGCAGATACATATCAGTGCATCTCTGTAAAAGTCAGTGAATCTGGATCTAAGCACTTAAATTACAGCAACTCTGGGATGGCGGTTATAGGTCCCAGTACTCTACGGGCAAACTAGAGTTTCAAATAATAGAAGCCCAATGTAATGAAGTGTAGTTGAGAGGTTCACAGACATTAGGGATGGAAGGGACCTCACGAGATCTTTGGGTCCAGCCCCCTGCCCAAGGGGCAGGAAGTCAGCTGGGGTCAGATCACCCCAGTAAGATAAACATCCACCCCATCAAAATAAGCACCCAGGTATGGCATTACTTGTAAAATGACTGGCTGGCTAGGTGCACTGCATATCTGTGCACCTGTTGATTTAGAAATATAAATTCATTAAGAACAAACTGTAAATGGTGCAGGCAGTCTGGAAGGAAAAACTTCAGGGTTGTGAATGGCTCTGCTAACCTTTTTATGTTCTTCCCCAGCCATATTTATGCAGAGAGCTAGCTAATGATGAGTGGTGTGTGAGCCCATTCTTTTGGAGACACTAGTGCCAGACTTGCATAGCTCTTGCCTCAGGGGGAATGTAAGGAATGTAGTTGTGGCCAGTCCCTGTGCATGGAGGGAAAAGGCTTTGTGTGCTGCCTCCCCATCATGCACACTGCATAGACAAAGACATAATCAAGTGCTGGTCTTTCTGACTGTAACAATGCTGAGGTTATGTCCAAACAAAAGGGCTATAAACTTCCCTTTTTCACAGAAATCCTTAGGTTGAGCTCTGTTTTCAGATATGTGGAGGGCTGATACAATGCAAGACATTTTTACAGTGACCTACAATAGACACTGTTTCTAAAAAGGGAACTGTGCCCTTAGCTAGGGTTACCATATTTCCAGTTTCAAAAAAGAGAACACCTGTTGGGGTGGGGGGTAATATGATTGTGGAGAAGGCCCCTGCCCCTCACTCTCAAGCCACATCCCCAGCCCTACTGCTGCCCTTCACTCCTGACCCACAGTATCCCGCCCCTGCCCCCGCAACCATGCTGGTGCCCCCCCTCCAAACCTACATCCCCTCCCAGTCCCTGCCGACACCCCTCATTCCTGACCCACTGTCCACCGGCCCCCTGGTGCCCCTTGCTCCTAAGCTACAGCCCTCCTCCCAGTCCTGTCAGTGCCCCTCACTCCTGACCTGCAGCCCCATGCCCCATCAGGCCTGCTGGTGCCCCTCACACCTGACCCATGCCCCCCCCGACCTTCCCAGCCGTGCTGCCCACACAGCTCCCCACTGGCCCCAAAGAGCCCCCCTGCCCCCTTCCCTCACTGGAGGGGCAGGCAGCCCTGGCAGGCACTTGTCCCCCTCGTGCTCGTATGCATGTGCACATACTCCCCAAGCCCTGGCCTTACGTGCCTACAGCTGCCAGGGCTTGTAAGCAGACGCATCGCCCACTTGTGATGTACCTCCCCTGATCCTCACATCCTCAAGCAGCTCCTTGCTGGGGCAAGCCAGAAAGTTCTGGGAAAAACTTGGATGCTAAGCAGAGGCAGAGGACAATCCCGGATATTTGTTGCTATTTTAAAAAACTGCCCAGATGGAGATGGGAGGACCCAAAAACAGGACACATTGTAACCTTACCTTAACATCTAACAGAATATATACAAAGACCAGTTTTTCAGACTTGCTGTTTGCCTGATCTCAATCCCATCAGTACCAGCAAGTCTAAGAGGGTTTACATCATACCAATACAGAATGAATTAGTATACAGTTTCTGTGACTGAAAAGCAGTCAGTTTAAATGTAAAACAGAGGGACTTTCCATGCCCTGCAGACTTTCCCTTAGACCCTAGAGTGAATTTTAAAGGAACACAAAAAGAAACATGATACTACAATGGAGCCTTAGCTATCTGGTTTAAATATACTGTTAAGAAACTTGTGTATATAACTTGTATGTGTGGATCGCAGGGCAACATGTAAACCACAATGTCTGAGTATACTGCATATAACTCATTTCCTTTGTCTTTTAGGTTCAGGTTTAGTGGTCGAATCCTTGGTCTTGCTCTGATACATCAGTATCTGCTAGATGCCTTCTTTACCCGGCCCTTTTATAAAGCCCTCCTCCGAATGTAAGTGGAATTGTTCTCTCTTTTGCAGTAAATGTTCAGGTTTTCATACCTAGGAAAATAAAGCAATATAAGTAATTATTTGGTCACTTGTCTACAGGGATCCTGGTTTTCTCTGTTCAAAAAATTGCAAATTCTCTGGTTAAACCCCCAAAATTTGTGTTTTTCCATGATTAAAATGAAACACCACTATGTAAATAGCTATCAATTTAACACAATTTTAATTTCTATATTTACAATTTTAAAGCAATTTGGAAGCCTACCAGTGCCTCCATCATTATAATAAAATAAATTCTAAATACCTATATATTTTGGCATTTGACTATCATGGAAAATCAGGCCTCTGCTTGCTACCTTCCCTCACCAGGATGTGGGTCCAGTGGTGGCTGTCCCCCCACTGCTTTGTGGCACTGAGCAACCCTTATATGCCAGTGCCTGCCTCTGCCCACACCGCCGGCCCTCAGTCCTGCCAATGCCTCTCACTCTTGACCCACAGTCCTCTAGCCCTGCTGGTTCTCCTCACTCCGAAACCACAATCCTCTGCTCCCCCAGGCCATGCTGGTGCCCCTCACTCCCAACCCACAGGCCCCCATCCCCCGAAGTGCTCCTCACTCCCAAGCAGCCACAGCTCCCTCAGTCCTGTCGGTGCCCCTTACTCTTGACCTGCAGCCTTATACCCCCACCCCCAGCCCTAGTGGAGAGGGTCCCCAGCTACTGCTGTCCCACTCCTGTCTCTCACACACCCATCCCCTCTACGTACCCCTGCCACGCACACACACAGACACCCCCCACAGCCCTTCAGACAGTCCCCAAGCCCTGGCCCTCCAACCTCTGCCCCCCCATAGACTTACTTGCATCCAGCTGCTGGGGCTAGTCTGACCACGCTGCCTGGCTTTATGCCAGCTATGTGTGTACGTGTGCGTACATGCATGTGATGTCCCCTGCCTCCAGTTGCCCTTCTCCCACTTCTCCCAGCCCCAAGCAGGTCCTTGCAGGCTGAAAGGCTGCCAGCCTGCAAAGGGCAATCCATGGTTTCCTGTGGTTTCCTTCCACACTTTTCTCCTTTAAAGAGGGAAATCCACATTTCCTCCTTCAAATGAGAAAGTCTGCATTTTTCCACATTAAATGGAAAGGCTGGATCCCTGCTTATAGTTAATCCAAGATTTATTTTAGTCTTTTTGCTCCAACTTATGGTATTAGCTAGTAACTCAAATGTTGATTGTGATCAGTATGAAAACCTTGTGATTAGTTTTAACCTTTTAAATTATCTTTCTGCTATAAAATACTTGAAGTCATGCAAAGATTGTGGTATTATTACAGATATTAATAAAATGTGTGTTCATTTTGCTTTACTGAATTATAGAACAGGATATGAATCACTCGACAATCTAGATTTAAGACCAGCATTTTCAAAGGTAGCCTTTAATTTTTGGTTGCCTCCAATTTGACTTGCTCAGCTTTAAGATACCTTGGGTCTGATTTTGAAAACTACTGCTATTGTACACCCACTGCTTCAGCTCAAGATGAAAACTGCAGTTGCTCAACACCACTCAAAGTCAGGACTGATGTATCTCAAGTTTGGAAACCTAAAATTGGGAGTCAATATTTATGCATTTTGGAAGGGTGATTTCTATTTGTCTGAAAAATATCCTGCAGATTTATGGAGCTGTGGAAATAAAACATTACGATTTATGTATTTGCTTTATAGCATGTAAACGATTCCTGCCCCTACAAGCTAATTTTAGAGGAGATGTCGTGAGGGGAGCTAATAAAATAGTATAGAGCCTGAGCAAAGAAGAGCAAAGACTCTTGCAGTAATATCATGTAATCATCACATTCCGTTCGCTCTTTATTTTAGTGCTTATCTAGAAGTTTTAAAAATAACCCAGAGCCAGCACCTGCCACCTTAATCACACTGGTTCTGATTCATGAGTGCAGTAAGAAAGAGCAAAGTGGCTGCATGCTTCTCCACCAGAGGCCTTCTGTAGAGTTACATAGCTGGTTCTAATGGCTTTGTAGCCTGTACACATCCCTGCAGGAAACTCTGATGTGCGTAGGGCATTACTGGGTCAGTGAGGATCATATTGCTCATTAGGGGCCACTGTTGCAGGATGCAAGTTAAAATCATTTTTGTCCCAAGTCAACTCCTGACAGTCTTTAAGTAACAAAGAATTGAGCTGCCTCCCATCTGTCCTTTCATGAGCCTTAGCACAGAAACAAGGTTAGATTTCCCTGGTGGGTAGCAGTGAGATGTACTTTATGAGAGGTAAGATGTTATTCAGTGTTAATAAGCATGGCAGAATTTGACCTAAGTAAATGTTGCTGTTACCTGACTTCTGGTGGGGATCTTGGAAGGAGTTAGTGCTAACAAAGGGCTTGAATGAGAAGAGGGTAGATGGCCTGCAGACTGGATTGGGAAGGATGTGCCTGCTTTAGCAGCAACATAGCCAAAAGCACAACAGACAGTTTTGGGAGCTGTGGATAAATAAGCTGTGAAAGCTGGCATCGCTGGCCAAGTAGGGCAATCAAAGAAGTGATAGAGTAGGAACCTGAGCAATAAGTACAGTGCCAGTTGCTAGTGATAAGAAGTTCCTGTTTCTTTTATGGGATGAATTGTGTACTATCTGTAGGTGGCTTATTTCTATCTATAGAATTATTAGGGTTTTATTTTTCTATATTTCAGCTTTAAAATAAAGTTTCATGAAATACAGGGCAAACACTTAGGAACAATATGAAATATATAAATAAAAGTTCTTTAAAATTTCAAAGGTGGAGTTTACAGTTTAACAAAATGGAGAGAATAAGTGTGGAACAGGCAGCCACTGTTACCATTAGCAGGCGAACACACAAAGTCAGAATAGTTTCTACTAATTTGACTTCAGGACCTCAACACAAAGGAATCTAGTAACCACTGTTCTTTGTTCTGTTGGTTTCTCTGAGCTCCCTTTATTCTCAGTATGTTTTGTAGGGCTGTCCTGTCTAGCTCTGTTACTGAGCACACACTATGGCTGTCGGCTATATATGTATGTTTTCTTCTTGTTTATGTTAGACTATGTGACCTGAGTGACTTGGAATACCTTGATGAGGAGTTCCACCAGAGTTTGCAGTGGATGAAAGACAACGATATACATGATATCCTAGATCTCACATTCACTGTAAATGAAGAAGTTTTTGGGCAGGTGTGAAAGATTCTTACTTTCCTTTCCTTTCTTCTTTATAGTCTATTATGTAACTGTTTCTCTGGACTTAAAAATGATTGTCATTCCCAACTGATTTTAAGTACTTTTTAATAAAAATCATATATGATAACAGACAGCTTTAAAATCTTATGGAAATGTGTCATCTATTGCCAAACATGGCTTTCTGATTAAACAGACTTTCTGAAGACTATATGAAATGTCCCATACTTGAGTTTTCTTTGCTGACAGTAGTTCATCTAAATTTGTCAGTATTGTCTGTCAGCATTCAAAGGTTATATGGTATAGGAAAACCCATTTCTATCATCTGTCTACAGGGATGACAATGCAAAGTTGGTTTATATCTCTTATTTGGTAGCTTGTTTCTAAGTCATGATTTCATCAAAACAGGGGCTTCAGCTGTATCATCTGAATTTATGTACTCCTGTTCAGAAAAGCTGGCCTCTGTTTGGTTAATTATATTGGGAATTAGCATAACAAAGTGTACAAGTGATCCTTTTTGTCTTTACATTATTTTGTGGTGGGTTATTTTGTTTTATTTTTACCTTTAGATCACTGAACGGGAATTAAAGCCAGGAGGTGCCAACATCCCAGTCACAGAGAAAAACAAAAAAGAATACATAGAGAGAATGGTGAAATGGAGAATTGAGAGAGGGGTTGTGCAGCAAACAGAAAGTCTAGTTCGTGGTTTCTATGAGGTAAACAAAATCCTACTTGTGAACTGTTTCCCCAACAAACATTTCCCCAATATGAATTTTTAATGCTCCCAACCATATAGTATTTATATAACAAATGTAAAAGTAGAAGTAACAGTGCATAAGTCCAAACAGTGGATTAATTTTATTATTTTGTAACAGTCAAATGTCTTAGTATGTAAATTAAAGTAATTGTTGGTCACTGAGTAGCTACGTGCCTACTATTCACATTAGTGCCAATACATACTCTGATGTGTACAGTGTAGCCTTTTCTTTTATTCTTGAAATGATCTCATGTAGACATAGAAGGAGTTTTTTACTTCACTCCAGCCTAGCAGAATTGCCTAAGTGTATGTGAAGTGTATGTTTTCTGCATTTTCTACATTTGGTCATCAAACTTGAATGTACTGAATCCCTATTGCCCTGGAGTGTTTCAGTATTATTTGTTGAATAACTTGCCTTCCAGAGAGTATGATCTTCATATAAAGTTGAATGCAGTTACAGTGTTAAAACAAAACAGACCACAACACAATAAAACCACACACAGAGCGGAAGAACAGTCTGTTTATTTGACTTCTGAAAAATGTTTAAACCTTAAAATTTGCTATGCATTGAACAAGCCAGCACAACTCCTTGCTTGAAAAATGATACTACATTTGTAATGGAGGAGCTTATTTAGTAAAAGGCAAAAATAATAGAAGCAATGAGTACTTTTTTCTGTATTTTGTTTCCCTTCACAGGTGGTTGATGCTCGACTTGTGTCTGTATTTGATGCAAGAGAACTGGAACTGGTTATTGCTGGCACAGCAGAAATTGACTTAAGTGACTGGAGAAATAACACAGAGTATAGAGGAGGTGACGTTAATTTTTCAGTTTTGTTATTCGTAATAAATTCTAATACAGCATCGTCATTATTTTAAGCTATCCCATTCTACACCATCCTATGAAATATATTATTATAATTTAATGTCAAGATATTATTTTTCTGGTTAGTTTTGGATTAAGAGCAGACATTTTAGTAACTTTTAGCTTTCCTTCCTGTTCCCATATTCACAGCTCTTCCTTGGTAGTCATCCTCATGGACAGCAGTCAGATAGCAGACTTTTTGGAATCAATGGCAAATGGCAGCCATATTTATTTAGTTGAAACCATCTCATTTCTACCTGCAAAGGGTATAGGGAACTGGCTGTGATCCTACCTAAGTGGGGTGTGGCTTCAGTTCCAGTGAGAACAATGGGAGCTGATGGCAGCTACTGTGAGTGAGATGGCTGTAACCATTCTGGCACCAGGCACAGCTTTAAAAAAAAATTACCACCCCCCAAATGTCACCAAAGTTAATAATGCTACTTAGCAACTTGCTAGTGATTGATATGTCTATATATTTGCAAAAGGGATTTTGTTTTTCTGTTTCTTAACTTGGATGAATGCCTGCCTTTGATTTGCAACAAAGTGCAGTAAACCTGGTGAGAGTCCTTGTTTTGTTTCACTTTTTTGCCATTGATTTAGACATATAGATATTCGCACTGTAACCAAGGATGAGAAAGGAGAAGGTCCATAACTATTAGCATTTCAGATATATTCTTTCACAAACTTATAGATAACTTAAAGCTAAAAGAGCCAAAAATAATGTAGCTTTTGTTGTTCTAACAGGTTACCATGATAATCATATTGTAATTCGCTGGTTCTGGGCTGCTGTAGAAAGATTCAATAATGAACAAAGACTAAGGCTGTTACAGGTGAGAGATCAGTTGATTCCTATAGATATATTCTTCCCCATTGTATATTAGATGTTAAATGATATTCCAGGATGATGACATTTTTTGATAGTGTGGAACCTGGGAAGGACCTGGGAACTCTGCAGTCTCCTCCAGAGGCGTCCTGGTAGGGCTATGCAAAGCTGCGGTCCCTGATTCAATTTGGTGGAGATTCGGCCTGATTCGGTGGCTGGACCTCTGGATCTGAATAGAATTGGGAGACCCTTTAAGCTCTCCAAATCGATTCAGAGAGTTTCAACTTGATTTGGAAAGATTTGACAATTTGGACATAGACACAGCTTTAAACGTTTTTTCTATATACCTCAAGGTACCAGGCAGCTTGTAAATGCTGTGATGCTGGGGCGGATGGAGCGTCCCACAGTAACATGGGGAGATGGGGTTTCCCCAGTGTGTTCGGCAGCAGACCCAGAAGTGGACTAGGAGATTGGTGCCTCCTGGGTCTGGGGCGACAGCCAGGGTCCCCCTGCAGCTGATCTCCAAGCTGGAGGAACATGGGGTGGGGGGTCCCCCCAATGCACTCGGTGGCAGACCTGGAAGTGGACTGGAAGTTTCCTGTGGGACGCTCCATCCACCCCAGCATCCAACATTCACAAGTTGCAGCTGGTACCTTGGGGAATGTAGAAAAAACATTTAAAGCTGTGTCTATGGCTGAATTGCTGATTCTCTGAATCAGCATCAAATCTTCAGATTCGGATTCAGCCGTATCGAATCGGGGACAGTGATCCGAATCAACAAATTGAATCACTGTCCCCAATTTGGGCCAAATCTGAATTGAATACGGCCCATTTCGCACATCCCTACTTCCAGGAATAAGTGTAAAGGTCTTGTTCTCAGGGCTTTTTTTCCTAAAAGGTTATATTGGGTGTCTAAGTGGACTCTTTAAAAGAAAATTAGTCTAAGAAGCCCTTAGTCTAAGAAGCCCTCTCTCCTAGTCTGCTATCAGGAAATATCTGTCTCACAGAGGGTCTTATCATCAGTGGGAACACCAATATGAGTAAAGTTACTCGGGTGCACAAACACTGAAAGACCCTTCATTTGTGCATTGATTCTTAATAGAGTATAACCTCATGAATCCAGGCATGCTTGGGACTGAGCACTTGCCGGAAATGTGAAAATTTCAGATTTTTGAAACCGGAGAGGTGGCCGGTCCCGGAGTGGTGGTAGGGCAGGGCGGTGGGAAGGGTAGGGGCAGCCAGTCCCGGACCAGCAGCCGTACATGGAACAGCGACAGCAGGATGGTGGACAGCAGCTATAGCTGCTGCATGCAAGCTTCCCCCTCCACTGCTTTGGGGCTGGCTGCCATTACTCCTTGATGGAGTGTAGTTTTAAAAAGTGCTGGATTTTCAATAATTCCAGATTTTTTATATCTGGATTTATGAGGTTATACTGTACTCTGTTTGTGTTGACAGTTTGTTACAGGCACCTCCAGCATACCTTATGAAGGCTTTGCCTCTCTGCGAGGGAGCAATGGGCCAAGAAGATTCTGTGTAGAAAAATGGGGGAAAATCACTGCTCTTCCAAGGTAAAGCTATATATTTGTATACATTTTTGTACCCATAGTTATTGTTGAAAAATATCAAAGTATATTTTAAACAACTTAGATATTTCTAACTCAGTTCTCTGTGAGCTGGTTGTGGTAAATATCATGATATTTTGCCTGCTGAAACCATTAACTATTGAGGTGGTGAATGAGGTTTGTGAAGTGTGAACAGCTGTCATAAACTACAATGAGAAAAGAAATGTAATTGTGCTTAATACTCTGTATCTTAACATTTCTGTTTCTTTATTAATTTGTTACATTTTACAGAAGTAAATATCCACTTAAGGGTTTTATGGGAAAAAAAAATGTTAGAAATTGCTTTAACTCCTGTAAAATACAATGAATTAATAAAGAAACAGAAATGGTAAGATACAGAGTATTAAGCGCAATTCGATTGCCTTTCTCACTGTTCCATTTTTGAATGAACAATTCTAATATTATAAAAGCCTAAATCTATCTGTCTGTCTGTCTCTGTCCATAATGCTTTGTTTGCCCTCTGATTGGCTGACAAACAGCCAATCAGAGTGTAAAGAAGCATTCTGACAGAAGGCAGCCTGCCATCGTGATGGTGGGGACACAAGGGACAGAGCAGGGGGGGCGAGGCCAGCAGAGCTGGGCTTGCCCCCCTGCCCTGCTCCCTGCAGGTAATGCGGGGAGCGGGGAGCAGACCCAAGTGGGGGAAAAGCCGGCCCACCGTGTTGTGGGGGGAATAGTGGGCCCCTGGCCTGACTTCGTCATGGCTGGGGGGAGGGAAGGAACGGGTCTCCTCCCCCACTCAGTCCAGGTCCACTCCTACCTCCTCCCCCTCCCCCATGTTAGCCTTGAGCCCGCTTCTCCTGTTCCTGAGTGAGCCCGGCGCAAGGGAGTGGGGAGGAGCAGGCATGCTGTGGCATCAGCGGTGACAGTGGGGCCAAGGGAGGACTGGTCCCGGGCCCAATGTGGGGGAGGGGAGGCAGCGAGCCCAAGCTGAAGGAAAAGCCGGCCTGCTGAGGCAGTGGGGGGCCCAGCCCAGCCCAGCCCAGCCCAGCCCAGCCCAGCCCAGCCCAACATGGCGGCCGCAAGGGGAGGGGAGGAGCGAGCCTCTTCCCATCGGGCCCGGGTCCACTCCAGCCCTACCCCTGATCCCCCACGGCAGCCCCGAGCCCGCTCCTCCCATGCCCCCGCTGCCGCCAGGTCAGTCTGGGTCCATTTCTTCCCCCCCAGGCCTCCCACCATGTGGACCAGCTTCTCCCCACCCTCGGGCCTGGTCCTCCTCTGCATTGGGTCTGGGCCCACTGCTTCCTTTCCCCTGGGCCCCAAGCAGCAGGAGGGAAGGGGGAGCAGGCCCTGTCTCTGCCCGCTCCCCACCCCCCCATTATTTTTGACAGCCAGTTGGCTAGTTCAGTAATGAAAAGCAAAGGTGAACAAACATTAAAATAACACTATGCCTATGATGTTCTTTGAAAGATGTTATATATATACCAAGAAATGAATATCAGTTTTGATTAACTGAGGAAACCCCAGGCCTTGACAGTCTTGTCTAGTCATATCATAGGAAAGTCTGGAAGAGAAAGAAAAATAGTGAAGGAATTCAGCATCGGGAGTGATATGATCAGTTACAGGAGAAAAAGTTAGGAAAAGCAGCTTTTCTCATTTTGTTTTTCAGTGATGCCAGGGACAAGAGCAGAATTAAATGGCCTGTAGCACCAGCAGGCTGGATTAGATTGATCACATCCTGGCCATTGTTTCACAAGCCTAGATTCAACAATTTAATATGAAGGTGCTTTCACCTTCTCTACGCTATGGTCAGACTGATACATTTGTGGAAGATATTCCTTTCTCTACTTCTACAATTCTACCTTGTGATGTCTAGAAGTTGTCCTGGTTGGAGACAGACATGTTAGTAATTTTGATTTCTATATAGGAAATCAAAGAACAACAAATAGTTCTGTGTAGCTGAAATGTAGAGAGCCAGCACATAAGTTTCTAGAGTTAGTAGCCTTTAAAAAAACTGCTTTGTCAGATAAAAGTATAAATGGGAACCACACAGTTAAAGGTCAAAATTCAATGAAGAGAAATGGAACAGTTTAAATTACAAAATAATTACTTTACTATATTTTGGGGGTTCCATTTTATGACCCCTGGTTCTTGTACTGTGAGAGATAGTAAATAGTGAACCCCTGTTAACTTTTTCTTCACCATTTAGTAGTTTGTAAACCCTTAACACATCCCCTCTCAAGTTTCTCTTTTCTAAACAGAATAGGCCTAGCCTTTTTAGTCTCTCCTCATATGGGAGCCCCTTCTTACCACTAATCATCCTTGTTGCCCTTCTCTGGACCTTCTGTAGTTCTTCCTTTTTGAGGTATGGGGACCAGAACTGGATACAGTATTCAAAATGTGGACACACCAGGAATTTGTAAAGGGGCATAGTAATACTTTTCATTTTGTTTACAGTTCCCTTCTTAATAATCCTTAACTTTTTGTTTGCCTTGTTTGCCTTTGGCTATTGAGCACTGAGCTGATGTTTTTAGTGAACTGTCCACAGTGACTCCCAGATCTTTCCTGTGTGGTAACAGCTAATGTAGAGCCCATCATAATGTAAGCGTAGTTTGGGTTACTTTTATCCAAGTGCATCGCTTTACACTTGCCTGCATTAAATTACATCTGTTATTTAGTTGCCCATTCACTTAATCATACCAGATCCTTCTGTAGTTCCTCACAGTCATGCTTGGTCTTTACCACTTTGAATAATTTTGCGTCAGCAGGAAATTTGGCCACCTCACTACTTTTCCAGATCATTTATGAATAGGTTGAACAACACTAGTCCTAACACAGATCCCAGGGGAGCCCCACTCTTCACTTCTTTCCATTCTGAAAGTTGACTATTTATGCTCAGTCTTTCCTTTTGGTCTTTGAGCCAATTTCTAATCCACAAGTGGATGTTCCCTGAAATCCCATAACTACCTAATTTAGTTAAGAGCCTCCGACGAGTTTGGCTTTGTGGACGTCTGACTATACTATGTCAGCTGGATTGCCCCAATCCACCTGCTTCTTGACACCCTCAAAGAAATTTAGTGAATAGGTGAGGCAAGATTTCTGTCTGACAAAACCATGTTGATTTCTCCCCAGCAAGTCATGTTAGTTCATGTCTTGAACAATTTTTTTTATTGTTTCAACCAGTTTTTCAGGAGCAGAGGTTAGTCTCACTAGCCTATAGTTCCCTGCATCCCCTCTAGAGCTCTTTTAAAATATGGGAGTCTAATTGGAGCCAGCCTCTAGTCCTCTGGTACTAAAGCTGTTTTTAGTGAAAGCGTTAGTTGTATACTACAGTTAAGAGTTCAGCAATTTCTCATCTGAGTTCCTTCAGAACCCTAAGTTGGAGGCCATTGTGAAGAAATCCCCCTCTCTCTGCCCACCCCCCTTGGGTCATTCCAGGAGTACCCCTCTCCCTTTCACTTGCTTGCTGTTTGGTTCAGGCTGGTCAACCAAGTGACCTAGCCAGATAAATTCCTGAGGGGATGGGGGAGCTCTCTCTCTTCCTCCAGTAGGCATTTTGAAAAGCCACAAGCAAAGTGCCTCCAGGCTGCAGCCTGGATGAATTCCTGTAAGTAAAAACTAGGAAATTAGCCAGGAGTTAGGATTTATGTCTAGGCAGATGCGTTTTAAAAGGGCTACTACATCCAAGGCTTTGTAAGACTCTGATTAATTATGTTTGCTCAAAGTGTTTTTCTGACTTCCTTGCCACCCCCTGATCAATAAAGGTATCGGGTTACAGCGTCCCTGGCTGTTTCAGTGTAGGGTTGAGAGGCAAGTCTTTTGCTCCTGGCCTGGCTGGAGAGCTTGCCTGTGTATGTTCCCTCAGTTATACCTGAGGTTACCTGGGGGTGTTTTGGGCTGAAAGAGGCACCCAGAAATATTACCAGTGCGCAAAGCACCCCCAAGTCTTGGAGGGTCTGTGTGTCCTGGGCTGCACAAAGCCCTAACAGAGACCAGTGCCCGGGTGGTGGCATCGTTACCCCAGGCTTGTGGGTTTTCTCCTAGAAGTGGGACAGCCAGCGGTAGGCAGGCACCCTGTGGGAGGCTCCTGAAGCGAGGTTTTAGGGCCTAGCACAGTGAGGTGGGTGGCTCTGCGTAGTAGTGCCCCCACAGGTATCAGGTCCTGGTGATTTACTACTGTTTAGTTTATCTATTTCCTCTACAATCGCATCTATTCACACCTCAATTTGGGTCAGCTACACTGACTTGTTGCTAGAGGAGTGCATCTGGTGACAGAATTTCCCTAACTTCTTCCACATTGAAGACAGATACAAAAAATGCATTTAGTTTCTTGGCAGTGGCCCTGTCATTCTTTAATGCTCTTTTACACCCTGATCATCCAAAGGCCCAACTGATTCCCTGGCAGGTCTTTGGCTTCAAACGTATTTAAATAAATCTTTATGTGTTTCTAGCAATCTTTTCCTCGAATTCTCTCTTAGCTTGTCTTATTTCAGTTTTACATTTGCCTTGCTAGTATTTATGCTCTTTTTTATTTTCCTCATTAGGATTTGACATCCACTTTTTGAAAGAAGCCTTTTTTCTGCTTATTGCCTCTGCAACTCTACCATTAAACCAGGCTGGCTTTCTTTTGGTCCACTTTTCTTTTTTTTTTTTATTTGTGGTATGCATTTGTTGTGTGCCTCCAGTATGGTGTTCTTAAGCAGTCCCCATGTTGCCTGCAAGTTCCTCACCTCTTTCGGGACTCCTTTTAACTTCCGTCTAACTAGCTTCTTCATTTTGCTGTACTCTCCCCTTTTAAAGTTGAAGGCTACTGTGGTAGATTTTCTTGTCTCCCCTCCTACCTGGATGTCAAACTCAGTTGCATTGTGGTCACTATTGCCAAGTGGCTCAGTAACACTAACTCTTTACACCAGATCCTGTGTACTACTTAGGACTTAGTCAAGAATGACCTTTCCTTTGGTAGGTTCCATGACCAATTGCTCCAGGAAGCAGTCATTTATAAGAAA